ATACATCTATCAATGTACTAGCGGATACAACACTGTGATACATCTATCAATGTACTAGCGGATACAACACTGTTATACATCTATCAATGTACTAGCGGATACAACACTGTGATACATATATCAATGTACTTGACTATAGATGTATGTGCCGTACGACTTTCGGTATAGAAGGTTTACAAAATAAACCTAGTATACAATGTCTATGAAAATAAATCTAGTATACAATGTCTATAAAACTAAGCTAGTATACAATGTCTATAAAAGTAAGCCAGTATACAATGTCTATAAAGTAAGCCAGTATACAATGTCTATAAAAGTAAACCAGTTTACAATGTTTATAAAAGTAAGCCAGTATACAATGTCTATAAAAGTAAGTCAGTATACAATGTCTATAAAAGTAAGCCAGTATACAATGTCTATAAAAGTAAACCAGTATACAATGTCTATAAAAGTAAGCCAGTATACAATGTCTATAAAAGTAAGCCAGTATACAATGTCTATAAAAGTAAGCCAGTATACAATGTCTATAAAAGTAAGCCAGTATACAATGTCTATAAAAGTAAGCCAGTATACAATGTCTATAAAAGTAAGCCAGTATACAATGTCTATAAAAGTAAGCCAGTATACAATGTCTATAAAAGTAAGCCAGTATACAATGTCTATAAAAGTAAGCCAGTATACAATGTCTATAAAAGTAAACCAGTATACAATGTCTATAAAAGTAAGCCAGTATACAATGTCTATAAAAGTAAGCCAGTATAGAATGTCAATAAAAGTAAGCCAGTATACAATGTCTAGAAAGTAAACCAGTATACAATGTCTATAAAAGTAAACCAGTTTACAATGTTTATAAAAGTAAGCCAGTATACAATGTCTATAAAAGTAAGCCAGTATAGAATGTCTATAAAAGTAAACCAGTATAGAATGTGTATAAAAGTAAGCCAGTATACAATGTCTATAAAAGTAGGCCAGTATACAATGTCTATAAAAGTAAGCCAGTATACAATGTCTATAAAAGTAAGCCAGTATACAATGTCTATAAAATAACTCTGTAAACAGTTTCTTTATACGTCTTTATAACGTATCTCTATATGATGGAAGCACGGTAGTCTAGTGGTAAGGCTTGTGACCGGAGGGTTGTGGGTTCGAGTCACGGAACTGTGTGGATCTTTGAGCAAGAAACTTTACTCATCTTGTTCTAGTCTACTCAGCTGTAAATGAGTACGTGGTTGGGCAGTGCTAGAATAGTGGAATGCTAGCTGTGAGCGCCGAAATGGCAGCACCCGCTGTATGCTCCCAAGGGAGTTGAGAAAGATATTGGCTTATTGCAAAGGCCCTATAACTACGGATAATAATTTGTGAACAGCTTTGAGACGACCTACGAACTATAATATGTAGGTTGTGATTTTTATTATTATTATTAATATATATGTATACAGAATCTCTATATAATTCCCATATGTAAAGTTCTTTTATAACTCTTTATAAAGTTTCTCTTTATTTTATATCCCTCTATCTGGTATTTATGTTATCATGTGAGACACAGTGGATATGATGAATATCATTCTAGAGGCAAACATATTTGTTTTTGTCAAATTCAGTTAAATCCCACCACAAACACCAATTTCAACTTAGTATAGGAACTTCGACAGGAGCCATTGAGGTTGTGATGCATTGACATAACCTACAGGAATATCGTGTGCGACCGAAATAGAGGATACCTTATTTGTTTGTGACGTTTTGGGTACTGAAATGTTTTAGATGTTAGACCAATGAAAAAATAATATATAGTCCACTAGTTATCACACTTTTTATGCGTCATATTCAATATCATAATAGAACTTAACCTATACTTGATATAATAATAGAACTTAACCTATACGTGATATAATAAAATAACTTAACCTATACGTGATATAATAATAGAACTTAACCTATACGTGTGATATAATAATAGAACTTAACCTATACGTGATATAATAATAGAACTTAACCTATACGTGTGATATAATAATAGAACTTAACCTATACGTGATATAATAATAGAACTTAACCTATACGTGTGATATAATAATAGAACTTAACCTATACGTGATATAATAATAGAACTTAACCTATACGTGTGATATAATAATAGAACTTAACCTATACGTGATATAATAATAGAACTTAACCTATACGTGTGATATAATAATAGAACTTAACCTATACGTGATATAATAATAGAACTTAACCTATACGTGTGATATAATAATAGAACTTAACCTATACGTGATATAATAATAGAACTTAACCTATACGTGTGATATAATAATAGAACTTAACCTATACGTGATATAATAATAGAACTTAACCTATACGTGTGATATAATAATAGAACTTAACCTATACGTGATATAATAATAGAACTTAACCTATACGTGTGATATAATAATAGAACTTAACCTATACGTGATATAATAATAGAACTTAACCTATACGTGTGATATAATTATAGAACTTAACCTATACGTGATATGAAAACCAAAACTAAAACATCTGTAGCTACTTCTTCTCGTCGTCACGATTGCAGCAATAGCAGCTCTGATTTGGTAAAGATAGGTCGACATGTCACCAGCAGCTCCTCCTACATATGATGCAGCTTAGTTCAAGCCAACCGACGCCGCTATAGGAATATAGGTCGCTGTCATTGTTACGGATACTCTGACAATCGTATTATATATATACATAAGAAGCACGTGTTTCGAAGACATTTCGTGGAGCTAAGAGGGAGCCGCTTTACTGTCATAATCCACATTAGTATTTGGAACGACACTGCAAATAAGGCTTGGAACCACACACCTGTGTAGGGAATACGTGTACACCACATACCTGTGTAGGGATTTACACATACACCACATACCTGTGTAGGGATTTACACATACACCACACACCTGTGTAGGGATTACACATATACCACACACTTATGTAGGGATTAACACATATACCCCACACATGAAGTGTTGAAGACTGATTGGACTGATACATAATACAAAAGAGAACCGAGAAAGTGTTATCACAGGATGTCTCAAACGAACTTTGTGTGGAGGAACATTGTACAACATGACCGTGAACAAGGACTGATTGAACCAATCGAGTGTAATACTTAAAACCCACAAAACTGAATTGCAGCAACATGGACAACACGAGTGCGAAAGGCCAAACGTTGACAACGGACACAGATACCCAATGGTACAACGTTGTGGTGTATCGCGGTGTGAACGGCTATGGGATCACCCTTACTTACCTCATCATGAACCTGATCGTAGCCGGATTAGGTCTAGCTATTTTGTTGCTAAACTCGTATGCAGCATACGTGATGTCGTGTAAACCTCACAACTGGGATGTCACATATGTGTTCATAACAAATCTTGCCATTTCTGATGCATTGTGTGGTTTGTTTACAATCTACAATATATTTTATAATTTAATTCATTACAAAATATTCTATGAATGCCTTTTCCGATTTGGAATATTAAACTGCATTCTGTTTAACTCCTCGCTGAATCTGTTTGCGTTGACATTTGACAGATACGTGAAGATAACAGCGCCATACATCTACTGGAGAATATTTGATGAAGAGAGGGCTAAAATGTTCACTATAGTTACGTGGTGTTTTACCGTTACTATGGCAGTGATGCCTCTCGCTGGATGGCACACCGAACAGAAGAGTGAATACTGTGGGTACTTCGGCGTGTTTAGTAGAACCTATCTCATCATGCTCCTGTCTATGGTTCTGATAGGATTTCTGTTGCTATGTGTCATGTATATACATATACTTATCATTGCTTCGGCGAAGAGTTCTCAGACACAGGCGTTCAGGGAGCGGATGCTCCGAATCCAGGGGTCAGTGGTGTACAGGTCACGGAACCCCGTTAAGGCTCTGTGGTGGAAACCGACCAAAATCATCCTCATCATCATCGGAATCAACGTCCTCTGCTATACACCAGTTGGTAAGTACCATATTTACAGCACTTGTAGAATGAGACTGAGTGCTTAGCAATTTTGTCGGAACCGTTGCCTGAAGAGGAGAGCGAAAGCACACGTTTCAATAGTGGCAGCTGTTATTACAGTTACCAGTAAAGTTCATATCAGTAATATACGCATTTTATCAACTAATGTCAAATACGATCAATGAATGATGAAATGTGGGGAAAATACTTGGAATATTCTTTTTAGAAGTTAGGAAGAAATTGCAGATTGCAACTACCATGCTATCAGATTAAATGAGGTAACAGACTGATACTCCCACGTTAGAAGTTTAAATGAGGTTACAGAC